TGTCTCTGGTGATATGAAGCTTAATAAAGAGGATGTTAGGACTAAATAATTAATTTCTTTTTTCCCATTTGAATTATTGCCTTTTCAATTTTACGAATATTTTAGTACATGTTGGCAATATCTAAGACATTTGGTTTTTATCTTTTTCTATTTATATATGCGATTGATTTGAATTTTTTTATTTAAATTCAATTACCAACTGATCATCATGGACAATTTATGATAATATAGTTTAAATTCAATTACAAATTTACATGGACAAATTTTGTTCTTCTTACAAATTCAATTACCAACTAATTATCATAAATGTATTAAAATATTGGACGATTTAAAATAGATTACTATATATATTAAACTAAAAACTAACATTAAAAATTAATAAGTGTAAATAAAATATCATTTGATAAATAATTTCACATAGTTATTAAAGTATTAAACATAAAATATTATTGGATAATTAAGTGAAGATTTTATTTATCCCTAATTAAAACTAATTAGGATTATGTAGATAAAAGATTAGTTGTTATCCTTTATAACAAACTATTAGATAACTATCATTTCATAAATAATTTGGCACGTTTAGATAACTATTAAACATAAATAATCATTGGATAATTAATTTAAAGGATTATTTATCTCTAATGAAAACCAATTAGGCATGTGATAATAAAATACGGTTGGGAAAAAAAAGACCTAAAACAGCATGTTTTTAGGCACATTTAATATGTTTCGATAGTATTGTTATATACATATATTAAAAGGAAGTTGATATAGATTAATAACCTTTTTTTTGTGTTATCTATTATATATTATTTTCAAATTTGATTTGTTAACTATTTAATAAATATTTGTTAACTATTTAATAAATATTATACCTTCCAACAGAATCGGTTGAGAAATAAATGAAAACACGACTCTTATATTTTAATTTCAGATCTATAAATAGTTTCATTATTCATCACGATATTATCACACATCTGGCTCATTTTTTACTCTCTTATTTCATTCGTAATCTTATATTCATTACACTATTTTCAAGAGTATCAAGATGCTGCTCGTGTGGGGGGCTCTCAAATCTGTGAACCGTACTGACAAGCCATATTTGAAAGTCAGAGCTGTGAGGGTATTTGATCGCAAATTTGATGCCAAGTTCAAGAACATGTTGGAAATAGTCTCCCATGATGATGATGTAATTTTTAAAAAATTACTATCAATCTTTTTTGGTTTATTAGATAATTTAAATTATATGTTGCATTTTCAATTCATAACATATATATGATTCGTTTACCATCATGTCATATATAGGGTCATCGTATGGCTGGACAAATTCGCTCCGTCAATATCCCAAAATTCAAAGACTTTATTAAAGAGGGCGAGGTGTATGCAATTCGCAACTATCAAGTCGATAGCAACATTGGGCTTTATCGATCGACTATTCACAAATTTAAGATGGTCATACATGGAGCAACCGAAATCTTAAAGTTTAAGGGGGATTTTCCATATTTCCGATTTGATTTTAGGAACTTTGTCACTCTTCAAGATCCCAATAATGTTGATGAATCTACCCTTTTTGGTATGTTCATCAACTTAACTTTATTTTTTGTTTTTTTGTTAATTTTACATTATATTGATTTTACGTTTTATTTATACATAGATATATAAATTTGATTAATTTTTTTATGAATAATTGTAGATATTATTGGAGTTGTTGTGGAGATTGGTTCCGTTTCTATTAAAGAAATCAGTGGTGTCCCCACAAAAATGATTGTTTTTCATTTGATCGACTTGGAGTAAGTGTCTACTTTCTTTTTTAAACTAAATAAATATTTATATTTGTATTGTCCATTTAAATTATATTCTAAATTATTGTAGGGAGAATAAGTTGTGTTGCACTCTTTGGAACGAATATGTTGATAATTTTCTTCAACATGAACAAGAACATGCTGGGGTTGATGGCCGCCCATGGATTATGATAATTAACTTGTGTAGAGCAAAACCATTTGATGGTACAAATTTAATAATTAAATAAATATTTCTTTTTTTGAAATATTCTATTGATTTATTTCATCAATTATGTTTATGTAGGTCGCCCTAATCTGACAACGTCGCAAAATATCACTCGGCTAATTTCAAATGAAGTTCCCGAGATTCAGGAATTTCGTACAAGGTTTGTGTAAAATATTAATTTTTTGTTTTATTGATTATTGATTTCATCTTAATTTAATAAAATATTGTGTACTTTATATTTTATGAATTTTATGAATAGGTTTGCAACTGCACGTGTTCGAAATGCTTCTTTAACTTCGAGGAGTTCGATTGTAGCACGTAGTGAATTGGATGAACTTGCTAGCGGTAATTTGGTAGTGGCCTCTGTTGATTCCCTTTATGGGGTTGATAAGGTATTGTTAATGTATAACAAAAAATTTAGAGACTATATAAATTTTTTTGTTGATGGAAGTCCGTCATTTTAATTAATTGTATATATTACTTACTATTTTAATATTATATTTTAATTAAATTAGCTTATAAGCAGTTTATATATTTCAACATACGGATTTCTGTAGTTTTTATTGCGTGATATTTTAATAACTTCAACAATTTTTTTAAACATTGTACTTCTTTTTTTTTGGGTTAATTTTCAACAGGATACAACTACTTGGATATGTGCTACTATTAAATCGGTTATTGACGAGTGGTACTACCTCGCATGTCGCAAGTGCAGTACTAAAATGGACGATAATCAAGGCCACTATGAGTGCTCTAAATGCCAAGGGAAAAGGGGTGTTTTTCGGTTAGCAAATCATTCAAATAATTCATCTTTTTATTTCAATTTTATTTACTTAACAATTACTAATAACTTTTATTTCAATTTTATTTACTTAACAATTACTAATATTTTTAGGTATAAGATCCCTTTTGTGGTTGCCGATGCAAGTGCGGATGCTACATTAATTGGTTGGGATAGAGATTGCGAAAAACTACTTGGTATCAGTTGTGATGCACTTAGGCGTGCGATTATTGATAGGGTAATATATCTAAATAATTTTTTATTCCAAAACAATAAATATAATTAAATACATTTTTATATTATTATTTTTGACCAAATTTTTTATGCATTATAGAAAAAGATTTCCTACGAGCTGCCCGACGAGATCGAGGAACTGGTTGGTAAAACCTTGCTTTTCAAAGTTCGAATCCAAGCAAGGCAACGTTTTGGCTACACTTCATTTTCTATTGTTAGATTGGTTGATGATGATAAGCTGATCTCCAACTACAACCAGTGGGTTGTTGAGCATACTGTATGAATTATTTAATCACTCATTTATTTGTCTTATTCTATTGTCAAAAAATTATATAATTAATTTTTATTCTCTAATTTAATTTAGGAATTTGACTTTATGACTTTGCTCATGAGGGAACAAGAAGACAATAAAGAGGTAATCGGTTTTATTTTATTATTTTTTTTTTGTTGTAAATAACGTTCATATATTCGTTTATGAATTTAAATTTTTTATTTAGGATGATGCTGATGAAGTTACCACTCCTTTGAAAGTGGCTCTTCAAAAAGAGGCTGTTTTGGACACTTCTACGGCAAAACGCAACCTTTGGGAGGAACTAAACAATTCAAGTGAAGTTGTTTTGGCCTTGACAGCACAATCAGCTTCTACTGATAAAGCGAAGTCGAAGGTGAATGCTTCCAATGATAAAGGAAAGGAGAAGGTGGATGTCTAAGCTCGGCTGCTAAGGCTTCTACTTTATTTATTATGTTATCATTATTATTTAGTTTGATTTCCAATGGTTGAAGTATTGTCATTTGGACGTTTTCTTATGTTTTCTGTTAGTAGGCGACTTTTTTTTCCATGACTGCAGCAATTATAGCTGTCCATCTTCTATTATTTAGACTCATGTTTCTGATTTCGAATATTACATGAATAAACGGCAGCATATATATATTGCTGGTTTGGTTATATCAATTTTATTGTTCTTCATTTAATTGTTTAGTCTTTTTTTATCTTTATCACTCTGTTTTCTATCCAGGATGGCAATATTAATCTACAATTTGTTCTTTGAAACTAATGAAATGTCCATGTCAACAAGAGAATCACATATTCAAACTTTAAATGTCAGTTAAATATATTGAAAACGTCTCATCTCAGAATTTATTGTTGCCGATCTTTAATGTTTACACTTATGTTCCTTATTTGGGATAATTTATGAATAAACAGCAGTACGGTTATATTTATATTGTTGTTTTAGTTATTTCACTTTTATTATTAATTATTCAATTGACGTTTTATTAGTTCCTTAAAATTCAATAAATTAAAAAATATGTAATAACAATGTACAAAATTATATGCAATACAGTCATATATAGATGTCACTTGGGCAATCATATCTTATGGCATATATTAAGCACATCAACCAAGTGTGAAAAAATTATTTAATTTACAGCTCCTCAATTTAACTGCTTTTATTAAATTTTATTACTACTATAGATTTCGTAATCTTTAGTTTTGAAATAATCTAAACGCATTCCTTTAATTTTTGGTAACAAAATTAATTGAAATTAAAGATAACCTGTTTAACGAAAACTTAAAATAATTCCTATTTTTATATTATAAAACAATTAATTAAAATTAATATCCAATGCCTTTTTTTTATTTTAACATTATGTGATAATATTTTGATCAGAAACAATCATAGTGCAAATAGTAGTAAACAATCAATATGTACATATTTATCAATCCCACGATTAGATATCTATTCAATTTAAATAATCGCACGCCTAAGTGTAAAAGGATAATCATAACAAATTTTGATAATATTATAAGATAATCATAATTGATATAATTAGAGATAATCATAGCATAAATAATCCTAACAAACCCACGTTTAATTTATTGTTATATATCACTACATACCACTCATGTTAAAACACATGAAATCCTCCTATGGGATAGACACAAGCGCCTAATATTATGGAAGATTGACCCTATCTGATAGTTTCCTATATTCTGTATTAAAAGATAACTATGGCCGTATAAAACCGTGTGCTTATAAAATCTTATGCTGTTAAACAAAATCCTACTCAGTTCTTCTGAAGCTATTAACCTTACTACTATAAACCTTCTTCTTCTATGATTTATTAGCTATAATTAACTAAAAAAATATGTAATTCGCAGTGAGGGTGGAAATAATACATATCAAGATCCTTTCAAGTGTTGCTGTCATAGCATAGAATATTCGATGTCTTCCAATGAATTCAAATGTCCCAGTGCAACAAAAGATGCAGGCTGTAAACGTATCAATCAACAAAGTGATGAAAACAGATTCACATGTAATGTTACTATCTTACCGTACATGTTTTTTGTTAAGTTATGAAACAACATATCAATATTAGATCCCATGATATATATTTAAAAGACTATAACACATGATATGTTGTTGAATATAATTATATGCATATTGTTTAAGTTGTATATAACATGTATAATGATTCATTCTAACATATTTGTTGCTTGGCTCAGATACTGACAGACCTAGGAGTGCAGCAGATCAAGTATTCAACAAAAAAAGCAAAACAACCAATCTGTCTAACTTTCAAGGTAATTTTTTTAATATCTAATTAATTCCATTGACTTTGTTTATATTTTCTATTGATACATACCTGAATGCAAATCTTTTTGGGTTGAGTTTATTTGTCCCTTCTCTTTGTCAATGTATGGTTACTCAGCTTTAGGAGAAGTACCTTGCAGTTTGTTATCACCTCATTAAATGATCATGGATCTATGTTGTTTATACTTCACTTCATTTGTTTCTCACAGTTCCACAGTTTAAACATGTTACACAAATGAATAAATAAATTAAACATCAAATACTATAATGTTATCAGGAGCATAAACAAAATATTATTACCTTTGTTGTATAACTCTTGGCTTTATCTGCATTTATACTTGAACCTTTCTGAACATTATACGTTGCTTCTCCAGCATTCTCCCGGTCATCTCATACATTAACATACAAACAAATATGATTAAATTAAACATATTATTTATCTCCAAATTGTAACCAGTAAGCAAAAAATTACCAACTATGATTAAATGTGGAGTTCATTATAGAGGAAGGATTCTATCTTAAGTTGATCTGAGTAGTACTCTGTTGACTTTGAATGTCAATTTATTTAATCCAGTCTCACATCAAAATGGAACATGCATACAATCCATTCAAAGAAATTTTTTTTTTTTTAAAAAAACTTTTAAAACTGGATATTGACGGAGATAATCTCATTTGAAGTCGTACT